GCACTTAGGTAAACACTACTATTGCTACCTTTTGACAGTAGGAATAAACTAGGGCGCTATCATACTGAAGAGGAAATTTGAGGAAGATTAGGCGATGCACGTGTTTTGCTGAGTTTGTGCACCTGCATGCTGCAGCTGCGAGAAGTGCGGCACGATATCGTACATCCCCGATCGAAATCGACAGGACAAAGAGCCCCTGGCACAGTGGTCAGAGGCGTTGGACTTTCAACTAACAGGTCGCGCGATCGAGCCCCAGGTGTTCCACACTTCGCGGTTGTGTATGACTGGCAGACGATGGCTAGTAAACCAGAAATGGCCACTCCAGTCTCCCTTGTCTATGTCGGTAATAACAATCTGGCGACGAAGATCCTCCAGCGTCCCCATGTCTTTTCTGGCTTATGCTCCACTGCTTACTGTTCGCTTTTTGAGCTTCTTCCTATCCACTACTCAGTTAACAACAAATTTCACTAGTTCAGAAAAATTTTCAGCTGCGGCTTGAAAGATTAATGTATGTAAGAAAATATAGAATATATTATGCCTTTCCAAAGGAAAGAAGTTTATCTATAAAAATCCAGGGACAGTCGAACGACCAGTTCTGATCTGCTTCCTGGATCGCAGGCAGAAAATATTTACGAATTGACTCAAAGTCGTGAGGATTTGAATTCCAAGGGTCTAGTGCATAGCAAGGAATCGACGCTCTGCTGGATAACTTCCGATTATCTGAAATCACTACTTAGTGACGTTCAGCGCTCTGCGTTGATGGGAGGACAGATATTGAGTTTGACCGGCAGACAACAGAAGACCATTCGATAAGGTTCAAACCAGCCCTCATCGTTGCTATCGTCCGACATCTCGAGTATCACTCAGCTAATGGGGCGCCAGTCCACAGCTGCAACTCAAAAGTGAGCACCTATAATATTTAATATGGTAGGGCACGGATATGCGCACTCCCCTCCCAATTCCCAACTCTCTGCTCACAAAGTGTCTTTTTAATTCATTAAGGCAAACCCGCAGGACAAATACGACTTTGTCCCTTTTGATGAATTTAAGAACACCACGTTTCCTCTCCCAAAAGACTTTATTAACATCATTCCGGTATCACATGTGGCCACCGGCGACTATGACATGCCCAAGAAATTGAGCGGTTAAATGACTGATGCCTCCTATGCTAATATCGGCCGGGGCCGTTAGAGCCGGAAACCCGAACTGTCTAAGTTCCCTAGTTGCTAGCCAAAAGGCCCTTACAATGTATCCGCATGACCCAAGATCAGCCGTCCTGAAGGAGAGGCTTCGGATACTAAACTCTTCAAGTTTGAGATCCTGACGGTTTTAGAGAGACTGGATTGTCCTCTCCTATAGGATATCTTTCAGGAAATGTGTGTTTACACTTTATGTGAGGCCTCCTAGATTTTACAAAGAATTTTCATTGAACATCTTTGAGACACCAATAATGGTAGCAGTATTAGGCGGTATCAATTGTAATAGAGGTCTCCTTAGTAGTAGTAGTAGTAGTAGTAGTAGTAGTAGTAGTAGTTTGCCTCTAAAACGGGTCACGCAATAGATGCGGTGGACGAGCACATAGGATAGATGGGAGTCCGACTGGCGTTATTGCGAATGCGACAAACGGGATCTGAACGGTCCCCACCTTTTGTTGTGGCAAAGAATTTCGATCAGTGCCTCTTTGCAGACCAGGGGCTGCTGTGATACATCCTGGCGCGGGTTTACGGCGTGCCAGCTATCTGCGCCCTCCGGTCTTCTTGACTATGCCTTAACAGCGGGCCCCGGTGGGGAGGAGAGAGTGCGGTACGTGCTGCACAAGTCTACTATCACTATGAATTAATTTATTCGCAAGCCACCGTCTCTACTTTCACCCTGATGTGGAGCAAGTTTGAACCACCTGCGATTCGTGCCCGAAATCCCTGGTCATCGAAGCAAACTCTCTACCACTGTGCCACGGACCCGTCGTCTTGTCGGATACGATTACGGGTCACGATCCTGGTCGATATGTGGATGCCTTAAATGGCTCTGAACTAGACCTCCTGACACAAGAGGACAGTCGTGTCCCGTAACCTGATCGGCGAACGCAACGCCAACATAGTTAATGATGCCGATTGCAACCGACAAGACCCCGCACCCGTGGCTCAGCAATAGGGAGTCCCACTCAACGACCGAAGAACGTGGGTTTGAATCCCAGGTGTAGCAAACCTGCGGTTGGGTGTGGCTGGCTTATGACGACCAATCAATCAGAAGTGGCCATTCAAGTCTCCCCGCCTTGTCCTTGTTTGTAATCCTTTCAGTGCATGTTCCTAGTAGCAATGCGACTGCCTTCGTGAGTTCTAGATTGCGCTCCAAAACCCAAAGAGACGAGCATGTTCCCTAACCCGATCGGTGAACACAATTCCAGCATATGGGCGGACGTGTGCTCATCGATCAGGTTACGGAACACGTTCGGGCCTTGGGGTTCAGTCTAGCGTCCTGGCATGCAATTTTATAGCGACAGTTATGTAGAAGAAGGAGCACGAAGAAGACAAGGGAGACTGTGATGTATATTTCTGGCTTATTTACCATCATCAGCCGGTCATACCTAATCTCAAATTTGCAGGATCTGAAATTCGAACCCATCTGCTTCGCCCAGCGGGCCTTATCAAGCCCAGCGCTCTAGCGTTGAACAACGGAACCCTTTGCGACCGGGAATACTTACTCATGATGGAACTGCAGTTACCTAGCGGGTTACGGAATCTCTAATTCCGTTGCGCCTTGGGGAGCAGTCTGGAGCCCTGGAGTTGTGTGCGACTGACTGACGACGGCCAATCTGCCAGAAACGACCATCCCGGTTTCCTTGACCCATCTCAAGTTACCTTCAAGAAAGTCCAATGAACAGATGCGTCCACTCTAAGACGAATTTAATCTAAGTTAGCCGTCTACCTGAACCGTCAGAAAAGGATCTTCAATCTTACTACAAAAAATCGCGCTTACATTACATTGATCTCTCCTAGAATTTGGTTGTGAAAATGGTCTGCTGGTAAAAAAACTGTAGTGATAAATTCGGACTTTTTTTACCTAGATTATGCCTTAAAGGACCTCGCGAGCAAAATATTTACCCGGGCCTGGCAGTGTTTATGAAAACTGATTCCGCTAAAACACATCTTACGTCCAAGATCTTTCCTTTTATTTGATAACTTTCGACCCACAGTATTATCCGACTTCGAATCATTCCTTCGCTCTCAATGAAAACGGCATATGCCCTTGGGATTTTTCCATGGTGACTTCAGGAAAGTGGGAAAAGAAGAGGCGGGGGCGGTGCTATAGATATTTAACTCGCCATAATCCAAGTTTTGCGCATTTTACGTCAGGCCGCCATACCGTAGTGGTCCACATTCAGTTGAACAAGGGAGTTATTATTAGTGAACAAAATTCGGTATCGAAGTCTCTGTAAACCATACCGAACCGACTTGTTTCTCCCCATCTCCGCCTGTCTCACATTCCAAATCTGATCGTTCTCAGAGAGAAAGAGAGTGGGGGGGAGAGAGAGTGAAGAGGAGGGCTGCGGCGACCTGACGGGTCCGACAGCAAACTAAACAAATTACAGAGAAAATCCACTCACGCAGAGTCGATGCAGTGCTTCGGGGGGTGGGCAAGAGGAGTCTATGAGAAAGTGGTCTTCATCGTGACAGCGGCAACTTCCCAGTCAACCATCGCTGCCACTCGCGCTGTGCAAGTGGTAGGGGAAGCAAATGCTTTTTCTAGCAAGCCTTATTGAAACTACTAAATTATAGCAGGTCAGGTAGCACTTTGCCGCGCTGTTCCAATGTAAGACAGACTTTCAAAATTATCGGAAAGGGGCCTGTGGCCGCGCTGCGCATAATCAAAGAGCATTCACAAAAATTTAAGCCTGAAAAACTCTAAAATAATCAATACGAATTCACGGCATCGAATCTTGCCTTTACCTCAACGAATGCAGTTTTATTAGGCCACACTCTTTTAAATCTAATTCCGTTGGCGAATTTAGCCCATGCGCCAGTTTAAGTGGGCTTTTTCACTTTCCATCTTTATACCTCTCTCTATGTATCAAACTATCTTAAGTCGTCAGAGTACGACTTTTCAATTATTTTTCCAGAAAATTAAAGACAGCACTTCGAAGAAAACCTTATTGGTCTTTAGAACATAAATTATACTGTGGAACAGAATGACGCTTTTGAGATGTGTTAACTATTAGCGATAATAAGTGCTTGGTTGAAAATGCAAGTAAAAGAGAGAAGGATAAACGTCTTGTCGAGTAACATGCGAACTACAACAGTGAGGGTCACACGCTTACTTGACCTGTTTATTTACCCCACTTCATATGGCCTATTAGGTGCTGATGATCTGTAATGATCACGAAACTGGTGCTTGCGTTTGGTCTGCCGCACTCTTAGTGAACTGCTCACACATTATCTTGTCAGCTATTATAAGTTCCAAATATGTTTACCCAAAGACACATGGAGCTGTTATTCAGAAGTCGACCATGACTGCCAGGCAAAGTAGTTGTCATTGAATTTTGTCCAAAAACGCCGGAGCGATCAGTAATGGAGACAAGAGAACCCGGAATGCCAGCCCAGAACAAAACTGACTCAACACTCAGTGGCCAACAAGGTCATACTGGAAATTCGGATTTAAAAAGTCCAGGTTTGGCTTGTGAATGACCACTGACGTCAAATAAATGAGAAACATCTACTTTCGTCCCGCTTTTTTGACGACAACATTTCCCAGCTACCTGATCGTCAGTCCTTGTAAGCACTTATGACTCATTCGATAGAGTCCGTTCAGGCTGTGTGTACGTATGCTCATATGCCTAGTTTCCGGCGACACCGTGCAACCGCCGACATAATGTTTGGCGCTCGTCAGATACAGGAGGTGCGAATCCACCCATACACTACATTCGTGGACTTGACGAAAGCCTATGATACGGTGAATCGCGGAAAATCATGCAAACATTCGACTTTCCTGAGCCATTCACGCACATGGTACGTCAGCTCCACGACGATATGATGGCGCACGTCACGGACAACAGCACAATCTACGAAGACTTCGTGGTGACTAATGGAGTGAAGCAGGGCTGCGTCCTCCCAACCACCATTTTCAGCCACATGCTCTTTGCTATGCTAATGGACGCCTACCGTGATGAACGCCCCGGGATACGCATCGCCTACAGAATTGACAGGCATCTTCTCAAAAGCTGGGGCATGCAGGTCCGAATGCGGCTATCTACAACCACGGTCCACAATGTGCCCTTCGCCGACGACTGCTCACCCAACACCTCGACCGAAGTGGACATGCAACAGAGCATGGATCTCTTCGCCTCCAGCTGTGCCCACTTCGAACTGACCACCAATACGAACCAAACGGTGTCCATGCATCAACCATCACCGAACGCTGAACACAACTCTCCTCGGATCACTGTCAACAGCAAGGGACTCAAAACCGTGGACAGCTTCGCTTATTTAGGAAGCAGACTCTCGCGCAGCACAAGAATAAACAACGTGGTTTTCCGTCGGCTCTCCAAAACCAGCCAAGCCTTTGACCGACCGCAAACCTCCGTGTAGAATCGCCACAGTCTTCAATCGAACACCTAACGGAAGATGTACACGGCTGTCGTCTTGATGACACTTCTGTATGCAGCGTAAACCTAAACCGTCTAAACAATCCATGCCGGGAAACTCAACCACTTCCATCCCAACTGTCCCCACAGACATGTCTGAGATGGCAGGGCAAGATCCTGGACACGGAAGTCCTTGATGGGACCGGAATCCTGAGCATTCATGCCATGCTGAGACAACTGCAACTGCCATGGAGCCGCCACATGCTGACAGCGAAGTACGCTCGACTTCCAATACAAATCTCCTATGGGGATGTCACCACGTGCGCTCGCCAACTGGGAGGGCCAAAACGACGCTGCATGGACACTTTGAGGAATTCTCTTAAACGACTGCAGATCAGCCCGTGGGCCTGGAAGGACCTCGCTCAGAAGCGACCGGCCTGGAGAAGAGAAATAAAGACTGTCGCAGCCGTCTACGAGGGAGACCGGATTGCCGCCGTCAAAGTTGAAAGGGCTGCTCGCAAGTCTGGGGCACCTGTGAGACGCAACGTCGCCGCTCAATCCCACCCAACGTGCCCGAACTCTCACGGAACATTTCGCTAGCGGATTGGCCACGGCAGTCATCTTCAGACCCAATGCACTAATCGCCCGACGACCGCAATTACTGCCGCTACAACCGTGCCTGCTCCAAACTCCACGTCGTCGCCCACCCTCACTAACGTTGTTTCGAATCCCCCAGTCACACAGTCGTCGGTCACTACCACCTTCATTATCTCTCCCACAACTACTGCAGCAACGACGAACACAACCACATCTACCACTGCCTCCAACGACCAAAACGCTCCTGACGCCCCGAAAACTACCAACATAATCTCCCCCATCTCCAGTGATGTGAGCTCAGCACTAGCATGTCCTTGTAGTGCACATTCACTTCGTCCATCGGCCTGGTCGATCACTTGCGAATCCGTCACACAGAGACTGGCGAACCAATACTTGGAGCACCAACACACACTCGCCGCATCCACCTTCATTGTCCACGCACATCCACCCGCCACGTGGGCCAACTCAGCCGCATGCGTATCCATGACAGCGGAATACACCGCAATATCGATTCACCTAACTCACCTTGCACCTTCACCATCCCCAGTCCAATCATTTCCCTATCGCCCTGCGCACTCACCACCAACAACAGCACCACCACTGTAGCCACTATGAAACCGATTTTTCAGCTCCCGACATATTTTGCTCACACTGTCACCGCTCATCCGCCCCACGCACTAGCCTGGTCGGTCACCTATGAATCCTTCGCACGGGGACTGGCGAACCAGTGTCTGGAGCACCAACGTACACCAGACGCCGTCCCCTCAACAACCTTCATTGACCTCGCAAATTCAACCACCGGCCCCATGCACATTCACTAACACCTGCAGTAGATCCCCGCTGTCCATACCACACTGTTACACCTCTCCTCAAGGGCACCTACGACGCACACCACCATCACCCATCGTCAGACAACTCGAGCCCACCACTGGCACCTCTCAGGAAAATGGGAAGCGTGCCTCTCGGCCTCTTCTCCATGCGGCTCTTCTACTGCATGTGTGATCCGAAATTAAGACTATCACCATGTGCCAAGCGCCGTGACTTGGAAGGTTGCCGATTGACGCCTCAACTCGGTCCACTCAGTCTGTCCAGCTAGAGTTTTCGAGTGAAGTGGCGGACCGGTGGGCCGAGAGTTAGGCTGTAACGGCTCCTTAATGTGACCTCTGGCACTCTTCCCCACCTCAGCCACAGATATGGAAATCCTTGGATCCTGGGAATCAACGGATAGACGCACCCACTTATGCATAAAATTTACAATGTGCAGCGACAGATGTTAAGACACCGATGAGCATTGGGTTGGATGAAGTCCTTATGACCCATCTGAAAGAGTCCACCTGTCGACCGTCTGCGGCCTACGCATGCACGTTCCCGTGTTTCTGGTCCCAATTGATGGTCGGTGTTATGACTAACTGAATAAGGTCAGAAATGCGCACTTCAGGTCCCCTAGTACGGTAGACACATTCTGTTAATAAGGTGCAAAGCCGACGTTCTATGCAATGCCCTTGCAGACGCTAAGCTGTTTTTTTCACAACAACTAAGGACGAAAATGACCCAAAGCACAGCCCCACAAACAACCCACTTGGAAAGCTGAGTTTGGCTCGAAGCAACTGATAAATCGGGAATCGCGTTTGGCGCAATAGATGGTTTTTAGATGTTTTATATTCCCCACCTCTCCCACACATTCGGAGCCTCTCTGTTGCAGATAACTGCTGTATCTGTGTAAAACCATTGTGCCTTTTTCGAATGTGACGTGTGTGTTATTCCTCGTCATGTCTTGGTTTCCTCTGCTATTAAAAACTTCAGCCTTTTGGGCAACTTTTTTGTGTGGTTTATGCCTAATTGTCTGGCAGACAGTCACTTCAAATCATTAATTCAGCAGTGTTTCAAAGGCAGCATTTTCGGCGTAAATATACCGATACGTGCGCCGAATTTTACTCAGTTCTTTATGAAATTGCACAGTGATTATGCATTATCTAACCGCACTTTTCTGGCGTGCGGTTTATTTTCGCATGTTTATTTTCTTCTGGTCAGGTAAAATATGAATAGCTGTTATCAAACCACTGCATTTACCACCTCTCGTATGTCGGTTAGATTGATGTGTGCTAGATTGGGCTCTATCTCAATGCCATTGTTCTTCCCGTCTTTATTACCAACTCCACATGACAATTCGACCGTCGTGGCCGACAATGTTTACCTCGTGCTCCACATGAGATTGGGAACAAGCATGGCGATTGGTTAGGAATCACAAACGACAGACAGAGCCCGATCAATGTCTGAAGGCTCGCAGATGTTGCCCAGGGGTCTCGGGTTGGCCTGCCAGTCATCTGCCGGCTGGGCAGAGCTGTGGTCAACAGCGCATACTATGACAGGGATTGTCTGTCACAGTTTTGACACTTTTCATTAATAACTGTCAAAATTATGTAGTCTCAATGCTGCAAAATGGGTTATTGCTGAATCATCACTTTTATAGTCTATGCCGGGAAGGTTCCTGCTCGGCAAAAACAACAATCCACACAGATTTCCATACCAAAGCAGTCATTATCCATCAGAATGCGACCACATTCACAAAAATCCAATTTACCAGCTCAGCATCACCTCCAGTCTTCGCAAAATCGGTTAAAAGTTACTTTGAAGCTAAAATGCTCATAGTGGACTCTTTCAACCTCATAGCATATAACACTAGCGGTTGGTAATTCGAAAATTAGTGGTTGGTTTTCGTCAGCCATTCTGTCAAGCCGTCTTCTGCTTCTTGTGGAAAGTTTGGATTTCAGGCCGTAGAAAGGGCTTTTCTATCCAGGCGTTCCTATCGGTGACAGCATACATGTTAGGTATGTCTTCATTCCTTTTGATACGTTTAATTAGACGGACATTTGAGACGCGAGACCCAGCATACCACGGCACGCTGTCCACGATGACCTAACCCGCCTTTGACTTCTATTGTGCAACGGCGCATGGTGGCCTCTGGTCGGTCTGTGTTCACAACAGCTGGCCTTGCCGCGGGCCTAGTTGCCTCTGGAGCAACAGCAGAAACACATGGCACAATAATGTCTTCCTACAGACAGGTTTTTGACTCTGTTTGAGCACAAAAACCAGCTACCAGTGCTACTGAATAGGCAATCGGATAAATTGCTTAAGCTTTTTGAGTTTTTTAAGTTTTGATGACGCAGTTGTCGTCGTACGTTATTGGGTTGGTACTATTTGAAGATAGAGGACGACTGGAGGAAGGATGAAAATCGGCGTTACAATAAATTTTTTTATTCAACACCCATAAAGGTACTTCTGTAGGAAATAAAAATGCATTTTCAAGTGGATTTTGGAGTGGGTAGGCAAATGCTGTACAATGTTGCGTTTGTGCATAGAAAATAGGCCGTCTGTTATGAAATACGGTTAACCTGCAGTAAATAACGCCTTAAAATGTTGTTGGAAATGGCAAAATGAATGTGAAAGAGAAAAAAAACAGTCACTTATGGGAAGGTAAAGAGGCACACGGTCCAGTCGTACACGCTGTAGGACAGGACCGTCCTGCAGGTGAGGATATGCTAGGGTTCGAAACGTTCCTGGTCAGGGTAGAATTCCTAAACCGTATGAGGCTATTCGATGCAGATGCGAAATGTTCCGAAAAGTTCTCACAAAGCAACTACCCAACTTACAGTTCTTAACTACGACTGGAACGTCGAGCATAACGTCGTGTCACCCAAAACGTGAAGAATAGAAGGCAAACGAAGTTTTTAGAAAAGACTTTCCCGCACTTTTGTTCTTTTCCTTGATTCCGCCAATCAAGTATTTGACAATCGGATTTGGCTAGCAGACGTTCAATGCGTATTCCAGTAGACAGTGATGTTTCCAGACCCCTTAATACCTACATTCTGCTCGGGTACCCTGAAGAATTCGTTCAAGAATTTCTGGCCGGAGCATATTTTAGTAGCTTTCATCTGTTCGAGGGAACTCTCACTGTTCCTTAGGGACTTTGAGCTATATATCTCGGCCTATGTTTCACCGTTACCGGGACTACAGCGTCACGTGTCAGCTTTTCAAGTCCAAATGAAAGGCGCATAACAATGATTGCGGTCGATTGTAGTTTGTGATTTTACAATTTGACTACCGGAGGTGGTTATGGGTTTTGTATTATAAGATGCCTCTCTGGTCTATTTTGGACTTGTTCGTGCTATGTCTATTAAGACCCGTTTCGTCGATCGAGCTAATGCCGAAAATTCTGGCCGCAGCTTTCGAAATGTTGCGTGGTTTCGCCTGCTTGAGGAGAAGAGAGGGAGAGTGAGTAAACCTAGTCTAGCTGGGATTCGGCGCCTACGCACTTTACTAATAATAAAAGCGACAAACCTTTAAACTGTCACGAGCTAGAAGTTGGGACTTGGAAGACCTCCAGTTGGTGGGACTGAGGGTCAGGCT